GAGGGAGGGAGGGAGAGTACAATCCCGCCGCCGATGTACCCCGTGGCCCACAGGACACACACACGACACACGACATACACACGACACGACACACACACACACACACACACCGGTGAGCCGTGGACCCCTCCAACAAATCTGCTGTCGCTGCCGGGCAGCAGTAGGTGTGCGTGTTGCTGTGCTGGTGGTTTGGTGGTTCAGACGCACCGGAAGGCTTCGGCGAGAAGGCGGCGAGAGAAGCGGCCATTGCGCTTCAGGAGACTCTGCACCTGATCGGCCACCGACACCACGGTGCCGAACCACGAGAGCTCGGCCTTGACCACGAGCTGCTCCCCCGACCCCACCGTCCTGCACACACAGTAGAACATGAGGAGGAGGAGGAGGAGGGAATAGGGGGGGGGCAGCGCTGGTGAGGTCCTCACCACAACCCCAGACCCTGCCGCCGCCCTCGCCTGGGATTTAAGGAAGTGCGTGCGTGCGTGCGTGCGTGGGGGGAGAGGGTACCTCTGCCAGGCGTGCTCGAGGACGGTGCCGGTGGCGTGGTCGACGATCTCGTACCAGATCTTGAGGCGGCGGTTGGACGGCACGATGGGGGCCGAAGACGACAGCGAAGAGGCCAAGGAGCCGCCGCCTGTCGTCGGGGAGCCCAGCAAGGGCGCGGGAGACGAAGAGGCAGCGGCGGAGGTGGTGGTGGAGAAGAAGATGGGCGACCCACCGCTCTGACGCAGATCGCCGGACGACGACGACGACGACGAGGGCAAGCGGATGGGGATGGGCATTTGCTGCGTGGCGGCGCCGCTACGGCCCTCCGAAGCCGCTCCCGCGCCGGCGTACGAAGCCCCGGCCGATGCCGAGGCTGAGACGGGCTCCGTACCCGAGGCGGAGGAGGCGGCGGCGAGGTGTCCCGGAGAGTGTGCGGGGGAGTCTTCGGGAGATGTGTGAGCGGGCGTGGACGTTGGGGTGGGCGTTGGCGAAGATCCTTCTCCTCCTCCTCCGACCGACGACGGCGGGGCGGCGGCGGCGCCGGACGTTGCCGTGGCGGTCGTGGGCGCTGCTGCTGCCGTGCGAGGGCTCGCGGCAGTGGTGGGAGGCCTCACGGCGGCGGCGGCGGTGCCAAGGGAGGACGAGGGCGAGTAGGAGGAGGCGGGTGAGAGGGCGGCGGCGGCGCGGTCGCGAGGAGCTCCGGAGAGGAAGGGGAGGGCGGTCTGGTGGTTGGGCGGCAGCCAGAGGTACTGGCCTCCGCCCACACGGTCGACCCAGTCCTGCAGCTCGCGGGTGACGTTGCGGCACGACCGGCGCTTGTCCAGGTTACGGCCGTAGACGGCCTTCTTGATCCGCAGCGAGATCCTGCCCACCTCCCCGACCTCCACCAGCTCCGCACGGGCCTCCGTGGCGGCCTCCTCTCCCTTTTCCTTTTCCTCTTCCTTTTCCTTGCCCTTGTCCTGTTTGCCGACGTCGCCGCTGCTCGTGGCCGCTGCGACGAGGGCAGGAGGAGCGAATTCGCGTTCGGAGCTGCGGTGGATCTCGTCGCCCACAAGCCGAGCCACGGCCACCAGCTCCACCAGGCTCTGCAGATGGGCCGAGTGCAGCAGGCGGCTGTCGGTCACCTCCTGGGAGTAGATGGCGTCCATCTTCTTACGGAGGCCCAGCACCTGATGCGCCATCATCATCATCACCGCCATCACCACCACCATCACCACCACATCATCATGACGACGACAACGACGAGTTTAGCCCATTGGTCCACTACGAACACCACCACACTGGTGTGGGCCAGCGTTGTGATCAGGGCTTGGGGGGAGGGGTATGTGTGGGGGGGGGCTGCACCTTTTGGAGGAGGACCTTGCGGGAGGCCTCCGACGAGGCGTTGATCTCGCGTAGCACGCGGAGGAGGAGCTGGATGCCGCGCCCCTTGGCGGACCGCTTGGCGGCACGGATGTACCACACGAGCGCGTCGTAGAGATCTACCAGGTACACGTTCCGCACAAACGAGGGTCCCTCCTCCAGCAGCAGCTCCAGGAACCAATACCCTGCAGTACCCGTCGTAGGCCCGGGTCGTCACCCACCCACCCACCATCGACGTAGGTGAGCGAAGGACGTGGTGGTGATGGTGGTGGTGGTGGTGTGGACTGGTAACGTACCGAGTTCGAAGTTGAGGCCCTGGAGGGCTTGGTTGTCGTTGAGGCGCCACTCGAGGGGAGTCACGGTGAACTTGAAGCCCCAGAACGTGGCCACGGGACCCGTCGTGAAGCGGAAGTAGACCGTGTCCCCGTTGACGATGAGCGGCTGAAACTGGTTGCCCCCCATCTTACCCCGGTAGACCGCTATCGGGTCCTGGTACTGGTCATCCCTGCCGAGCCGCAAGAATCACCACAACCGCCCCCCAATATTCGCCGCCGCGTACAGACACGAACCGGCAAGAAGCCCGTGTTGTGTGTGTGTGTGTGGTCAGCTCCCCCTCGGAGGCAAGGGGTTCTAGGAGAGTGGCGCGAGAGGGAAGAAGACGGTGGGTACCGGTAGAAGGCGACGCGGGAGAGCATGTCGGTGTTCATGTGGCAGCGCGGGTCGAAGCGGATGATGAGGCGCGAGGCGCCGTTGATGTGGAACTCCTTCCGGTAGTCTTGGTTGTTCTCGTAGGGGTGGGCACTCTCCTCCATGATGGCCGGGGGAGGGATGGAGACGGCCTGTTTTGAAAGACAACACACACACACACACACACACACACACACACACACACACACACACGCATACATGCACACGACACACACACAGACACACACACGACACAACATGACACGGATGATCAACGGGGGTTAGGGGGGCTTGGGGGGGGGGTTGGTGGTACCTGTACGAAGTGGAGGATGCACTCCTCGGTGACGAGCTTGGTGAGGGACGACATCTCCGCCTCTGGCACGGAGGAGGAGGAGGAGGAGCTGCCGCTGCCGGAGTGGGCCGTGGCGGACGTGTGGTGGCCGTCGCCGGGCATCCGCTTGGTGGTGTTGTAGGCCGGCAGAGTGAGCGGAGGCACCTGGGCGGTGGAGGCGAAGAGGCCCTCCTCCCCGCGCAGGAGGCTCGCCAGCTTGGCCCGGAAGGAGGCCAGCACGTCCAGCTCGCCCACCCACCCGCCTTTCGAAGAAGACGCAACGCAACGCAACGCACGGCAATAGAGGAGGGCGGGGTTAGGCTCAATGACGAATGCAGAGTGTTGGTTGGTTGGTTGATTGGTTGGTTGGTTGGTTGGTTGGTATTTGAGGGTAGGTGGGGGGTTGAAACCGGAGGTGGGGTTCTTGGCCTTGGAGGCGAGGTGCTCGGCAGAGGCGAGCTTGAGGAGGTCGATGAGGTAGCGTGGCCCACCCAGCAGCGCGAGATCCAGTTCCGTCCACGAGGAGATGAGCGAAAGCACGCACCGGCGCACCTGCAGGATGAGCAGCGCGTTGGAGATTACCACCAGGTGGTGCTTCATCCTGCACCAATGTCCACCGCCATCACACGCGCGCGGGATGAGGAAACGGAGAGGCCTCACAATCGTGTGCATGTGGGTGGGGGCAGGGCGAGCAGCAATGTATGGTGGTGGTGGTGATGATGATGTGTGTAGGTGCATATATACGTACATGGCGAGCCAGGCTGCGGACTTGGTAGGTGCCTTGGCCGACGGCTTGATCTTGGTCGAGGACGAGACCAGGTCCATGCACGGGTCCTGGTACATGCCCTGTCGCCCGACCACCACGACGACGACGACACGGAAGAGGGGGGAGAGGAAGGAGGAAATAGGCGCGGAGGAGAAACGTACGTCAGCGATCCTCGTCCAACCACCCAATCAAATCAAATCAAATCAAATCAAATCAACCCAACCAGCCAACGCGAGAGGTGAAGGCCACGAGGAGGAGAGGTACTTCGGGCTTCTCGAGATCGTAAAAGTAGAACCAGAAGTAGTGACGACTGGCCGTCTCGGGATTGGCCAACCGCAGCAGCACACGCAGGGTGTCGATGTCCGTGTCTTCGCAAACGCACACACGCGCCACACACACACACACACCGCGCGCGCGTACGAGCTCATGTGTCAGGCCACGTGTCGAGGAGGAAGAGAGAGAGGGAGAGAGGTAGAAGGTGGGAGTGTGTGGGTACCGGCGACGACGCCGATGCGTCCGAGGGTGTGCATGATGTGGGCATACTTCTCGATGGAGTTGGGGGACACGCGGAGCTGGATACCGGGCACGATGTCCTCGAACTTCATGCCCTCGACGATGCGCTCCCGGCGCTCCACTTGCACCGGCGTATCGGCGCCCAGCTCGTCGTCCAGGAACCGGCTGGCGTCCCGGTTGTAGTCCTCCGAGTATGAACCCCCGTCGTCGTCCGCCTCGTCGCCCTCCCCGTCCTCGTCCTCCCATTCCTCCTCCTCCTCCTCCTCCTCGTTGCCGTCGTCGCCGCCGTAGGGCTGCTGCTGCCCCTCTTCGTCCTCCTCTTCATCTTCCTCGGCACCACGCGATTCGCTTCGCGTACTCTGCCCGGAGCCCCTCTGATGAGCGACCCAAAACCACCCGATCCGCCCCCCATCCAGCAGCCCTGTCAGCGATGCCAGATCATGCCACCTGCCTGCCTGCCTGCCTGCAGGGCGCAAGGGGGGGGGCTAAAATACCTGGTGGTGGTTGTCGCCCCGTTGTTGGGTGTCGAGGAGGACCTTCATTTCGCGCTCCTCCTGTTCGCGCTTGCTGACGGCGATGGTGTCCTTGGCCCACCGGTCGAGCTCCTGGTAGCCCCGCTCCAGCAGCCAATTGGCTGCGTACGTGATGTCGTCGCGACTTCGCTCGAGGGCCACCTGGCGTCACGGCGAGGGGAGGGACAACGCAATCCATCCACCCGGGTGAGCGTTCCCTGGCGAGAGAGTAATGCGTATGCCGTGTAGCATCGTGTTGCGTCGTGTCGTGTCATGCGTACCACGCACAGCTCGAGGGGGAACACGCCCATCATCAGCATCAGTTCCTCGGCTTGAGTGCGGCGCTTGATCTCCTGGATGGTCATGACCTTGGCCTTGCTCTCCATGTGCTCCATGCCCTCGAGGTAGCCCTCGGGCAGGGTGCTCACGAACTCGAACAGGAAGGGCTCCTGCCCGAAGTTGGCCTGCACCTTGACGCCGCTCGTCCTGATCCACACCACCGGGCAGAACCGACCACTGCACACACGACACACACGAGGTGCCGGTACGTACAGAGCGACACACATCACACACACGACACGACACGAGAGAGAGAGTGAGAGAGTGAGAGAGCGAGAGAGCGACACGAGTGATTAATAGAAGCCGCCCGCCCGCCCATCCCCGCCACACCAACGCCGCAGCACCACGAGCGAGATGCCAGCGAGGAAGAGATTCTCTCCGTCTCCGTAGTCGTGTACAACCCCCCCCCAAAGCCACGGGGCGAGAAGAGGAGGCGGGGCGGGGCGCGCGTACCTCACGTTGGAGAAGGCGCTGCCCAGGTATTGGCCGTTGAGGGTGAAGTAGAGGCTCTTGCCCCGGATGTCCCAGCCGCACCCGACCACGTCGCCCACGTTGAACGTGGGGCCGTACGCGCGCGAATCGATGCCCGACACCCGCAGGTTGCCCACGTTGTGCAGGGCACGTCCTCGCGATCCCTGCCATTCGCACCAGCGCCGCCGCCGCCGCCGCCGGCCAGTCAGACAGACAGATAGACAAATGATCATGGAGTGGGTGGGGGGCAGATTGCGCACCACGTAGGCGTAGCTGTTGTGTTCTCCGGGGGCGCCCTGCAGGGGGATGCCCTCGCGGTAGAGGCCCACGCCGATGTTGAGCCCCTTGGGACCCTTCTCCTTGCCCTCCCCCTGCCGCTGCTGCTTCCCGCGCGGCCTCTCGTCTCGCTCCTTGCCCTTCTCACTCTCCTCCGGCGGCGGCGGCTGTTCTTGCGGCGCCGGCTGCTCGCGGGAGCCCGAGGGCGGAAGGGCCGGCTCGGTGGCAGGAGCGGGGACTTCGGATGCCGGCGATGCGGCGGCACTGTCCTTGGTTGCGGCGGATTCGCCCTCAGTTGCCGCCTGCGCGACGACGTCGTCGGGGATCTCTGCGTCGTCGTCGCTCTCATCGGCGATGAGCTGCGCCTCGATGCTGCCCTTGAAGGATTCGTCCTTGACGAAGCGGATCTCAAAGTAGAACGCCGGGAGCGAATTGGGGATGGCGAAGTTGGCGCGCGCAAGCCCCACGCTCTCCAGCAGGCTCATCGGGTTGGCACGCCCCACCAGCGTGCGCATCTGCCCTCCAATGAAGCCCACCGCTCGCGCCGAGCTCCGGTCGAACGCCGACGGCAGGTTCACCGGTTGGCCCTGGGCGTGTTGCGTGTGTTGTGTGAACAGCACCCACAAGTCACGGGGGGGGGTGAGCCGGTGGGAGTCAATGCGGGGGAGGGGGTTGTGGGAGAGGGAGGGGCACCTTGAAGGGGTTGTGCTCGAGGAGCTCGGCCTGGGAGAGCTGCTGGGGACCCACCTCTTCGCGGTCCATGCCCACGCCGTGCTGATAGAGCAGCTCCAGGAGGCGATCCTGCCGCGTCTCGAGCTGCTCCAGGCTCTTGAACTCCTCCAACTCGGTCGGGCGCACCGCAATTGACAGCAGCGTCGACATACCGCCCTGCTCCGCCACGAGCACGGCGTTGGCTGCCCCCGCACGGCAAAAAAGCAAAAGAAAAAGAAAAATCGTGACGTCAGCAGCAGCAGCAGGGCGAGTGTGCAGCAACCGGGGGGGGGTAGCGCGGGGCGGGGGCGGGCGGAACCAGGGTGGGTCATGAGTTTGCAGAGGGCTTTGGTGGCCCGGGAGCGCAGCTGGTAGAACAGGATGTCCTCGTCAGCGTAGGCCAGGCCGTCCTCCTCCTCCTCCTCCTTCTCCTCGGCGCCGGGTGCCTTGTCCTGCTCGGCGGCGGCGGCGGCCGATGGGACCGCCGCCTTGGCCTTGTTCGGCACCACGCTCGGTACCGCGTCCGCGGGCCTCGGGCTGCCGCACGCCTGGCAGAACTGCAGATTGAAGTGTGCGCGTGCGGTGAGACCT